GCATAATACTTACAAATCTGCTTATATACCCAAATATACTTGTGTAATGCACACTTACCATCATATCTGCTGAAGGCTGGTTACGTGGTTGTCGTGTGTGATCCCATGACGCTTGCGGTACGTGCGTAGTGTGTGTTTCTCTAGAGGGCCTAGCACACCATCCTGAGTGAATGTCTGTAGTAGAGAGGCGTACTTCTCCAACTGTTTCACACCCTGATCGACAGCGACCGATCTACATTTGGGGGATATTAGAAAATCATGGATTCTATATTTAGAATGAAGCAAGTGTGATCTACGGATCGCAGATACTCACAGTGTTGCATTCGGTGTGTATGTTCTGCGAAACGGGTGCAAGAGTGGTACGTCTTTCCCCAGTTGCATTTTGCTGCACACGCCGAACACGTTGTCGTTTCTACTCTGCTACCGCCGATCTATACTCGGGTCACGCTGGCTCTGGTTATAACGCTTAAAAGTAGTACCAGATTGACGTTTGTGCTACAAGTCTTCGTAGTGTGTGCCGTAGCCGGCGGTTTGATTGCGTCTCTATCGTGGGAGACGCCTCCTGTGCATGTGAGGCACGTGTGACATGGCCACTACTTGCAACCATCTCAGGCCTGCTGCTGCCAATCAAAAATCGGTCTAAGGTTTTAGGGGTTTTGGGCTGAACCCTAAAACCCTATAATCAACGTCTATATCTTATACATAAACGTAGAGCAAGAAGTATACAAAAATGCGTGTTTCATAGTATGTATCGGTGGATTCAGTGCATATGTTTCTCCAATGAGTGTGAGTCACTCTACTGCGTAGCCGAATGTGAGTGTGAATGCGATGGCTGTGGCCATTCCATGCCCCGAATTGAAACCATCGAATAGTGACATACCATGGGCAAATAATTGGATCGAAACCTCTCGTCTGCTTGTAGCTGAACGACATAGCAAACTCCGTGCTATATAACATAACAGAAAGGTATTGGCGATAAAAGCGTAAACGTTATCCCTTAAATCCAAACTCCGCTTGAATGTATTACTCAAGTACAAAGGCAGATGTGTCTGTCAATCAAAGTGCACAAACATACCTCGCTTTCCGTGCCACGGCTCGGGCTAGCGTCGCCATGAGAATGTTCCTCAGTTCCTTATCTTCACTCATCAGCTGTATGTATATATATAGATATTTTTATTTAAATCTATATATATATATATATATATATACATGTATATATAAGGATTTAGGATTTTAGGATTTTAGGATTTTAGAATTTTAGAATGCGTTTGTAGCGCTACGTCGTATTAAGTACAAACAACGCAGGTAGCGTACAAAGTACAAAGCCGTGCGAGGTCACAAAGTTGTGCTATATGCTCTATACTGTGTACAAACCTATCGTGGAGTTCTCCACACTCCCACAGCCATAAATAGGTCAGTATGTAGTGAGTCATGAGAGTACATCAGTAACCCAGATTCAATATACACTAACCCAGTCTCGAGAGTTCCCAGCCATTGCGCTCGTACACCACAGATCCTCATCATTGCGGAAGGAGAAAAGCAATAATAACGACATTTCAA